TTTAAAATTACAAATTCAGTCTTTTTAACAGGCTACTGAGGTGGTTTATTCTATCCATTTTGGAAAATTGTGTTTATTAAGAAATTTGTCTGTTTCATCTGCATTGTCAAGTTTGTTGGCTTAAAGCTGTTTGCAGTGTTCTCTTATTTCTCCTTTTAATGTCAGTGGTATTTATCGTGGTACCCTTCTTTTATTGCTGATGTTGGTAATTTGGGAGTGAAGGGTGGAAAGCATTGATCTAAGCCTGGGATCAGGGTCCTGCAGTTAACAAGTCTTGTTCTAAAACTTTTCAGTTTAGCCCTAAATTGATTCTTGAGCTCAACCTCCAGAGTAGAAGACCTCTCGGACGCAGAGAAGGGAAAAAAAAATAGGAGGGGGCTCACTCTGAGCGAGTGGGTCATTCACTTTCCAGACTGAGTGGTTGCACTGATGGAAACTGGAGTTTGAGTAAAGGTACTGTGAGCTTGTGTGGTGAAGGGGAGCGTGTCTAGCTAGCAGGAGCAGTACCATGGCTGCACTGACCTTAACCAGCACCTGTACTCCAGATTACTTTCCACGTGAAAAGTAGACTCAGTGGCATATCATTATATTTAAAGAAGAGTTCAGCCAGGGAGCAGTCAAAAATAGCAGACTGTTTTAATAGATACTTACTAGCTTTTGGGTCATTTTTACTCAACCTATTTCAGCAGGGCTTCTAAACAGTTCCAAAAAATATATATATGTATGTGTGTGTATATGTATATATATATATAGGCTCATTTGCATAATAATGTTATGTTACCAAATACTATGTGTGATTTTCACATTAATAGTTTACATTAAAATCATTTTGTACTGTGCTTTGATTAACTTTGGTTTAACTGTTGTTTAGAGTTACCCATAATTCTCCTCTGTTTCACTTGCTGATAATGGAATCTAACTTTGACTTCATCTCTACTAATGGTTCAAATTATCCATGTCCCTTTTTTTGGTTACTTGATTTTTCTTCCGGTGTGTCATTTATGATTTCTTCAATTTAAGTAGTTTTTGAAAAGTTTAAGGCTTTCTTTAGAATGAGTTTGTTTTTAGACACATGTTATGTGTTCATCATTGAAAAATTCAAGCAGTGTAGAAAAGAACAAAGATGGTTTAAAAAATTCATGCAGTCATCTTCATGAAATAACCATTATTAAATGAGATTCATTCAAGAGTATTCATGCATGTATACAAGGAGAAGGCCTAGTGGATAAATAACTTCATATTAAGGAAGCATACTATATATGCTGGTTGTACATAAAATGATTGAGTTTAATACAACATAATTTAAAATAAGTTAAAGAAGCCAAAGTGAAATAAGAAATTGATGCACATAAGACAGTTATTTCTTCATTTCAAGAAACAGTAATTTCTTTCTTGAGGGGGCAGTAATTAGGTTTCTTTATTTACTTCTGTTCAAAAAAATTTTAATGACAGTACTGGGGACTGAACCCAGGACCTTGCGCATGCTAAGCACTCACTCTACCACTGAGCTATACCCTTCCCCCAAGAAATAGTAATTTCTGAAAGCTCCCTAAAAGGTTAAGAAAATACATGATGAGGATGTGAAGAAGTTGGAATCACTCCAGCTTTTCAACAAAATGGCATGTTTCAATTTTAGATTCTATGAATTGACAGCCTGCTGTGAAAGAGGAAGAAGTGCACTGACAGCATACTTCAGCCTACCAGTTTTCTCTCTCTCAATTTTTGTTAGTGTTTTGCTGTTTTGTTTCTTTTCTTTTCTTTTCTTTTTTTTAGTTTAGTCTGCTCTGTTGGAATATCATTTTTCCCTAGGACCGTATTTCCTTCACCGTTTACTCTTGTCCTTACGTGCAGTTACTGCTCCCCACAGTTGCGCTTACCACAGTTCCTTCTGTCCCAGGTATTTATTTTGATTCATCACCTGGTTGGATGTATTTGAACATCAAGTACTTTGTGCCCAGGAGAACTCGGAGGTGTCAGATTCCCTGTTTTTGAAAAACACGTGCCTTTCGCTTCTTCCACACATCTTAAAGTGGAAAGCTTTATGGTCTTCTTAAATCCCAGTTTCTAAGGATGGTATCACATCTTTTAAATCTCTTTCCCGACCCCTCCCTAAGAAGTCCTCCTTTGAGACCCTCCTGTTACAGGCTGATTGATTACCATCCATAGCCTGAACTTTTGAATTATTTCTTTAAATGGTATCTCTTGACCCAGAGTCCTTTTGATTTTCAGCTTGGTCGTCTTCTGTTAGGGACAAAGTCTGGAAAGGTTTACTCGTAAAACACCATTAAAAAGAATGGTAGCAAACAACACACACTGTTTTGGGGCTTGCTTTTTGCCATTTAGTATATCTTGAAGATGCCTCCAACCCAGTACATAAAGATCTCTTTGTCTTTAAAGACTGTGTAATAAAAAGTCCACTGAATGGATGTATCATGATGAATTTAGCATGATCGAAGGGCATTTAAATGACATTTAAATGTTTACCATTGGTGACAGTGCTGTAAAAACTAGCTTTATATCTATATTATTTTTCAATGTATTTGTAGGATCAAATCCTAGAAATAGAATTGCTGTGTCAGAATATAGACAGTTGTCTTGATAGGAAGTCATTCTTAGACATGAGAGCATTTTTAATTTGTGTGTAAGGAGTAAAGAATGAAGGCAGACACTCACCATGTACCCACCAGCCAGTTTTAGAAACAGAACGTTACCAGTGCCTCCGTAACTCCCTGGGTGCCCCTCAGTAGTTCTCTTCCTCTTCTGCTCCTGCAAGAGCGAACAATATTTCAAATTTTGTATTTATTATTCTTTTGCTTTTTGTTATAGAGTTAATACATATGTATGAAACCCTAAATAACGTACAAAGTTTTGCATATTTTTACACTGGTTGCAAACCAGATCCTGTTGTTTGTCTTCCTCTGCAGCTTGCTCTTTGCCTTCACACTGAGGTTTTTCAGATGCATCCATGGTGATGCCTGCAGCTCGGCTTCATTGCTTTTCCCTGCTGTGTAGCGCTGTACTGTGTGACTCCGCTGCAGGGCGTCTGTTCTAGAGGATTTTCTAGTTTGGGGCTGTTATACACAGTGCTCCTGTGAGCCTTCTTGCACGTCTCTCCTCGTGCACACGTGCCAGAGTTTCTCTGCACAAGGACCAGAATTGCCAGGCCATATGGTATGCCAGTCTTCAGTTGATTTAGGTAACTTTTCCACTGGACTATGACATACAAACGGAAAATGCTCAAGTCCAAGTACATAGCTCAATGAATTTTCAGAGTCCACATGTAGGCAGCTCCCAATAAAGAAGTCAAACCCTTACTAGCCCCTCAGAAGCCCCCTTGTACCCCCTTTCGCCCAAGACATCCACCCCTTTCCCCCCCACCTACTCTCTGACTTACACCGCTGTGGGTGTTTTGCTTGCGTTTGCACTTTGTATCAGTGGGATCCTACAGTGTGAGTGCTTTTGGATTTGGCTGCTTTCACGTCCTGGTACATTTGTGAGATGCGTCTGTGTTGTAGCGCGTGGTTGTAGTTAATTCTCATTGTCGTGTAGGGTGCCACTGTTTGAGTATAATACACTTTATTTCCCCATTCTGCTCTTGATGGGCTTCTGGGTTGTGTTTAGCTCTTCCCTCTTACAAACAATGCACCTTTGAATATTTTCTAATACTTCTCTTGGTGCACACGGACGAGGGTCTCTCTCAAAAACACAGGCAAACCTTGTATGTTTGTACTTCGCAGATACTGCGTTTTTTACAGTTTGAAGGTTTGGGTGAACAAGTGTTGTCAGATGATAGTTAGCATTTTTTAGCAATAAAGCATTTTTTAATTAAGGCTTGTATTTTTTTAGACATAATATTGCTGTACCGTTAATAGATAGCAGTGTAGAGTAAACAATTTTTGTATGTGCTGGGAAATCAGAAAATTCATTTGACTCACTTCATTGCTATATTTGCTTTGTTGCAGTGGTTGGTCTGGAACTGAACCCACAATGTCTCTGAGATATGTCTGTATAGCAAGGTTAGAATTGCCTGGCGTATGTGGGGAGGGTACAGCTCCGTGGTAGAGTGTGTGCTTAGCATGCACAAGGTTCTGGGTTCAATCCCCAGTACCACTGTTAAAAATAAATAAAAATAAATAAACCTAATCACCCTCTCCAAAATTGTTGGGCGTATCTAGTCATCTCTTAGGTATCTATAGGGATTAGTTCCAGGAACCCTCAGATACCAAAATCCGAAAATGCTCAAGCTCCTTATATAAATGGCGTAGTATTTGTATATAACCTACAGGCATTCTCCTGTATAGTTTAATCATCTCTAGATTACTTATAATACCAAATGCAATGTAAATAGTGGCTGGTGCATGGCTGGCGCATGGCAAATTCAGGTTTTGCTTTTTGGAACTTTCTGGAATTTTTTTTTCAAATATTTTTAATCGAAAGCTGGCTAATTTTGTGGATGTGGAACTCACAGATGCGGAGGGCCAACTGTAGCATGTACATCTTAAGTTATACAAGATAATGTCGAATTATCATGCATTTGAAAGTTTTGTAGTTTGTCACGTTGTTCTCCAAAGTCGTTATATTCTTTTAGATTTCCACTCAGGACATCTTACACGAGGAGCTGTGTTCCCCGCACCCTCACTCATGCAACGCTTTACCACACTTTTTTCTTGCCCAGTCTAATTGGTGAAAAGGGGTACCTTATTGAAGGTAAATTGACACTGAAGACCATATTTCATAATTTAACCGAATTAATGCTTTTTTTGTTTGTTTTGGCAGCCCGAGACCTCAGATCATTGTTCTCTTCCAGAGGACCTAGTGAGTATTCCTGCGTGTTCTAGACTAGAGTTTGTCCTGCCTTTGCTGATAAGTACTATAAGAAAATGACAATAACAGTTTTATGAGTGTCTCTCTCTTTATTTGGTTGCTAATCAAAGCCTTTGTTTTTTGTTTGTTTTTTGCAGGGGGGGAGATAATTAGGTTTGTTTATTTATTTTTTTTGATGGAGGTACTGGGGATTGAACCCAGGACCTCCTGCATGATAGCCAGGTGCTCTACTGCTGAGCTACACCCTCCCGCAAAGGCTTTTTAATCTAACATGATGACTATAGGATAAAAATGCTAGCAATAGAGCTATTATGGGTGATCCTCTCCCAACTTAAAAGAAAACCCTGAAATTTTATTGCTTTATGTTAAAAGGAAATAAAAAGAAAGAACTTGACACCTTGCCTTCCTACAAGGATCAGGCTTCTTATCCTTGTTTTTCATGGTTGACTTTATGACCTTCTCTCCGCTTGAATCCTTCCAGGAAAAGAACAAGAGGCCCGTAATTTGATGGTCTTGGCCCCGATTCAGCCGTGAGAGTGTTCTTGTGTATTCTGATCTCAGCATAACTGCTTTGCCCCGTCCCTGCCCAGAAACGGAAGGGGAGGCAGCTGGCAGAACCTCGTCACATTTCATTTAAGGAATCTTTGCTACCGGAGCGGGCAGATTCCATAGTCCATATTCAGTGGCTGTTTCAGAAAATGATTTTTTAAAAATTCTGAGTTATTCTGCATTACAGTGATTCAGAATCGTCTGTAGTTGTTCTGGATGTCTGAAACTCGGGGACTGTGGTTGATGTCTAGGCAAAGAGAGTTGACACCTTAGCAAGACTACTTTAAATCCGTTCTGTTACATAAAGGGGTCTTGATACACACACACACACACACACACACACACACACACACACACACACACACAGTTAAAAAAAAACTAATTGCTTGTACCCTCGGACATTTCCATAGTAAAGCAGTGGCCCAAATACTTTCTGGATTTAGGATAGACAGGATGAGATCGTAGGAAGGAAAACATAACTTTAAATACCATTACAAATGCCTTATGAATCTTTCCCCTAATATTCAGACCATTTTCCACTCAAGGAATCTGAACTTGAGGACAAAGGTTGAATTCTCGGGATATGAGAACTTCAAAAAGTTTGAATGAGTCCTGGATGTTCATCTGCCAGTTATTTTTGTGTTCAGTTAAGAAAGAGACAGGAGCAGGTTGAGGGCTGTATCACCTTACCTTCTTCTATGCGTGTGAATTCTAGGGTCACTTTTCAAGCAGTTTCTACATTTTAAGTGCCCATGTTAGTTTCCTAGGGCTGCCCTAACAAATTGCCACAAACTGGGTGGCTTAAAGCAACGGAAATTTATTGTCCCATAGTTCAAGAGGCCTTAAGTCTGAAATCAAGATGTCTTCAGGGCTGTGCTCCCCCTGCAGGGTCTGGGGGAGGAGTCTTCCTGGCCTCTCCCAGCTTCTGGCATTGCCAGCATTCCCCAATGTTCCTTGGCTTGTAGACGCACCACTCCCCATCACTCCTGTCTCTGCTCCGTCATCACCTGACCCTCTTCCTGTGTCTCCCCTTCTCTGTGTCTCTTCTCTTCTTATAAGGACACAGTCCGGGTGAATGTAGGGCTCCCTCTCCTCTAGTATGACTAATTACATCTGCAAAGACCTTGTTTCCAAATAAGGTCACATTCTGAAGTTCAGGGTGGATGTGAGTTTGGAGGGAATGCATTTTAACCTAGTGTAGTGGGCATTTCATTAAATATGCTAATAGGTTGACTGTGTCAAGCCCAGTTTCTTCAGTGGTATGTGTTCTAAAGGTGACAGTGGGACTTCTGATGGCATAGGAACAAAGTGATGGCCAGGTGTCCTGGAACGGCGGGTATGCTGAGATCACACACTCAAACAGCAAGACCAAGTGCTAGATTGTCAGTCACTGTTTGCATTTCTCGTGCTCTAAGGCAGAGGTTGGCTAGTGCGCCCTCAGGTGGGCTTCTAGGGGAAAGAAAGCCTGAGGGGAGGTAGCTGGATGGCAGGGGCCTCTCTTGGGTCCTCACTCAGTTTTCTAGCACAGCTGCAAGACCCAGAGAGTGGAAGAGAGTGGGAAACGCTTGGGTTTGTGTTTTTAAGGCACCTGCATCCTGCCTCTGTGTGGTCCGTTTCGAGTGTCAGGACCTGAACACTCAGTTTTACTCCGTTCTTCGGGGCTGAGCCAGGAAGGGGTCCCTAGAGACACCCCCGGTGTGTCGGAGAAGGAACTGAAGCTTCCCTTCTTTTTGGTCCAGCACAGGCTGGTCAAAGGCAGCCACACGGAAAACAAACCTTGAGAACAAAGGTTGCAAACTGAAAAGCCTTCAGGGGCTGGGCAGGTAAAATGAATATGGGAAGCAGTTGGGAGTAATTCATAGGGTATGCTGGGGCTTGTAGTGAGCTGAAAAATGCTTGCCCCAGATTTGGGCTCTCTCTCTCAGAAGGGCAACAAAATGCATCTTGAGTTTGTAAACCCCTACCTGATGGCAAGTGGCATTTGCTTGGAGCCTGGAGAACTAACATCAGAGGGTCCCTAAGCTCAAGGTTCTCCTCTGTCAGATACTTCAAATTCCTGGAGTGAGATCACGTTTTAAAAAAGGCTGTCTAATACAGGATTGGTGGCAGTGTTGCTTTAGAAGCCAGGTAATTTTATTTTTCACAGTAGTTAGTCATCATGGGGCTGCTTTGATCCAATGACTCCATATGTTAGATCAACTCTAGAATGAGATCACATATTTTCAGACTGAAAATAGCTTTTTTGGTTCAGTTCTCCATGGAGCATCTTATTTTTCTTTCTTTCTTTTTTTACTGAGGTGTAGTTGATTTGATGGTCGTAGTGTACTTTTTCCTCTGAAAGAGTTTTAGTAGCCTCTTGTAAAAAACAGTAATGTGTGACTCTTACCATGGAGAATTATTATGTTCTGCTGAATTTTGCAATTTCAGTTATCTTTGGATCCTAAGTAAAAAGTAGAGAGTAGAAGATATGTGATTACTATACAGAAAGAAATTTCTCATGTTAGACGTAAACACTGTATAGTCAGTGGGTGCAGCTTTGAGACTTACCTGGTGTTGGTGGGATTCTTGAGGGAGGGGGCTGTTACCGCAGATCTGAAAGAACTTGGCCTGGGAAACATTCTCTGCAGGTCTCATCAGCTGTTTTTGTTTCTAAATCTGCCTGTGCAGAACTCTGGTCTAGGACTGCAGAGCGGGCAGAGGCAGAGCAGAAGGGTTAAGGATGAATGACGTGACAGGAACCGTCTATCCTCGGCTGACTCTGCGTGTACATTTCTTGTCTGCCTCTGTCCCTCTTTGTCTCGCTCTGCCCCGTTTCAGAGAGTGTCGGAAGTTTCCAACCACTGGTGGTACTCCATGCTCATCCTACCTCCTTTGATGAAAGACAGCGTAGCAGCACCCCTGCTCTCTGCCTACTACCCCGACTGCGTTGGCATGAGCCCCTCCTGCACCAGCACGCACCGCGTGGCCAGCGACGCCAGCCCCGGGAAGCTGGAGCACGCCAAGGCCGTCCCCTCTGTACTGGGTGAGAGCTGGCCCTGGCACCCCCTGCTTCCCCTCCCTCTCTTTCCCTGGAAATGTGTATGAACAGGATGCAAAAGATGTTTTTATTTCTTCCCCAAATGTGTGCAGCATGATACAAAGCGCCTCATTATTTCATGGATTTGGTTAGCCTGTGATCACTCATATCATTTGTATATATGCAGTTAATTTTTCCCTCAGTCCCTGGAAGAGCCTGTAACACTTGTCCAGGGATCGCATTGACGGAGCTGAATGAGCATTTATTTGAAAGTTGGATGGCTGCATGATTTGATGGTAACGCCCACTCACTCTGACAGACCGGAAGAAAGTTTTGACTGAGCTGCCCTTCTTTTTTCTCTCTGAGTCTCTCTACTTCTAATTATGCCATTGATTATCTCAGCAAAGTGATCTGCTCTTGAAAAAACTTTAAACTTCAGGGCAGGCAGACTGATGACCATTTACTTTAAAGTGACATTTAAACATTCTACATCAGAATTCTTGGTGTGCAGGCAAGAATTCTAGATCTTCTCCTGCACACTGATAAACTTGATTTTTTTGATGGTGCAAATAGATTTTGACATTGTGGCCCTATCGTAAGATTTTTAACTAATAATACTGGGCCCTCTAAAAATGTAGATGTGGTTGAGTCAAAGCTGAAGTGATAAATCCCACTGTTAACGAAGGTAGAATGAAACAGGCACTCAGATACTGTTAGTGGGTGTACATTTATGAAGGACAATTTGGCAGTATGAATGAAAAACCTTAAAATAAATGTTCTTTGACCCTAGGAATTTATCCTAAATAAATGATCAAAGATTATCAAAAGTCAATCCAAGGATTTATGTGGCATTGTTTACAGTAGTGAAATAATTGAATGAATTTTAAATGCCCAGTAATAGGGGAGAGGTTAAATAATAAGTAAATAATAAGATGATATATGTCCATTGAAGTCATATTTAATGACATGGGACAGTGTTCTTAAAAAGCAGGTAGGAAAAACAGCCTTTTTATTGCATTCTTCTGGCTTTGTGAAAACAAATAGCCGTTATGTTAATATTTTCTATTCATAGAAACAAAGCTAAGGATAGACTATACTCCTAAATGTTGACGCCACTTAAGGATTGTTAGGGGTTAGTGACTGTTACTTCTGTGAACCTAATAAGTTTTTGATCGGAAAAATCCCTATGAAAGTTACTTTTAAGATATATTTCTTTGAGGAGTTGGCATTCAGCTGGGTATGGAATTTTAGCCTTGCAAGATGAAGACGTTCTGTAGATCTGTTGCAAAACGGTGTGAATATACTGAACACTACTGAGCAGTAACACTTAAACATAATTAAGAAGGAAAATTTTATGGTATGGATTTTATTTTTTCCCCTACAATTAAAACTTAAAAAATTCCATGCCACAGAAATTAAATTTGTGAAGAAAGAATGGAGAAAAAATTGTTAAATTCATGCCTATTTTGTCTAACTAGACAGAAGAAGTGGAAATTATTACATAGGCCAGACTGGGGAGTCTCGGCTCTCCTTTTTGGCTTGTTTTTGCTCTTCAGTTTACCCAGATTTGGAAGTTACAGCTTGTGGAATTTGCCCGCTTGCGTCTTCTCTCAGTTCCAGGCATGAACCGCTACTTCCAGCCGTTCTACCAGCCCAACGAGTGCGGCAAGGCCTTGTGCGTGA